GGTCGCGAAATTGTATGACGTTAATACATTCTGCTCAACTTGTGATCTTCGCTCTTTTCACATAACTGCCTACTTATTTCATAGTGGTAGGCATGTCTTGTTTGGCTAATTTGGCTTCGGCTGTTTCTGAAGTATGCACCGATGGCACAAACTATCAGTATCTCTTCTCTCAAACGTGTTTCTTTTCGGGCGTTTTTATGTGAATTTTTTATTTTCTGTGCATTTCATTTCGCAGAGAAAGACCTTTGCAAAATTCGGCAGCCTCTGTGGGATTCGAACCCACGCCAGCAAGTGAGTACAGCCAACGCCCTAGCCAATTGATCTATCGAGGCCCCACCGGGAGCCGTGAGTTTAATCCCACTTAAGTCGATTTACCCAACCATCCTGCCGCAACGGATGGAATCCACTAAAACTGATACACTAAGCTGACTGCCTAAGCAGGGCTTCCTAAGCAACCAATCTAAACTGCACCAGATGACTACCAGGCATGCTTCATTATTAGGAGGGTTTTGGCAGATTTCAATTGACCCACTTGTGACAAATTCGACTGCCTCAGCGGGATTCTAACCAACGCCTGCCAAACCCCTCCTAATAACTAGTTATGTCTGGTAGTCGTCTGATGGGTCCTATAGTGATTGCTTATGAAGTCCTGCTTGGGCAGTCAGCTAACTGTATCAGTATTGGTGGATTCTATACTTTGCAGTAGGCTAGGCGGATGAATCGACCCAAGTGTGATCACATTTACAGATCCGGCGGGGTCTAGATAGCTCGGTTGGCTAGAACTTTGGCTGTACTCAAGCCTTCCCTTGCTGGCGTAAGTTCAAATCTCACCGAGGTCACCGAATTTTCCACAATGAGGTAAGCTGAATTATTCAAATCTGTCAAACCCCTCCTAATAAGGGCCTTTGCGTTTATGAGGGAGTTTGAGTAGTCTCAAGATAACTGGAAAGGCCCGCCGGAAAAGCCTAGCATATTTTCTTTTTGATACTGTCTTTTATCCAACTATCCTATCTTCTTGCCGATAATGCTGCTTTAATGCAATTCCTAAAACAGTAATTAAGTGACCACTATACCGCCTACACCTGTGCTAATTTATTAGACTCCCAGATGATGCTAGACAGGGATCCTTCTTTTTGATGCTTCAATATTGCGAATGATAATGTCAATAATGTAATGAAGGTAAAAAAAATGCTTTACTCAAAGATTTTTCTCTAGATTAGGCTCTTAGAATTCACTTATTCTATGGGTGTTGCTCGCGCAGAGCCCTTTTGCAAAATTCTTACGGTCATATTTGAATGACGAACAACTTACTCCAAGAGATACTTTGGAAATTAATTTCTACCCACTTTTAGCCACGAGGATGTGGAAGGTTTTCTCCCGTTTTTGAAGAATTTTATTGAAGGCAATTTAAAATGCATAGTTTTTTAGAAGTGTTCTGTTCGTTTTGTTCATTTCTCAATGGGAATCTTTTGATGTCTTCAGTTTCGCCTATTTTAGTATTATCTTTCACGATAAACGAATCCTGAATGGATGGCCATTTGCCCTCTTAAACTCCTAGTTTATTTCAATGCTGAAGACTACGATTTCTTTATGGCATTTTTAAATCAACTGAAGTCACATTCAAAATTTTTGAAAGTGGCATGAGAGTAATTTAGGGACCTGTGAATTCGATCACTTAGGTGTTTTTAAGCAGTTAGATTTAATTCGTGTAGGACTTTCTTTAATTTCTGATTCACGGACCATAGAGTCAAGTAAGGTAAGGATTTATGATATTCTTTGTCCCTGACACCTTTTATTTTTCAGTGAGCTTATTGTCCTATTTACTACCCAGATATACTATCTAGAGGATTGGCGCAAGTTCGATTTTCTGCCCGAGGTATATGCGTTCCTTGAGTTCTGACTTTGGGTTTCTCCGTGTTCTCCTTCCTGTTTTCTTCTGTTCCTGACGCAAAGCACCCTAGATTCCATTTCTTTTGACAGGGCAGTGATCCATCTACCTTTGAAATGCTCCAAAAAATCCAAGCTCTTCAGAAACGTCTTATTGCCAAGACTGAAGAGGTAGTCGAGAAGGAGATTCAGATCCAAGAGAAGGAGAAACTTTATGTTGAACTGAAGCGCATATTAGCCCGCCAGCCCGGTCCAGAAGTGGCGGAACAATTGAGCATATATCAGGACAGTCTCAGAGGAAAAACAAAAACATTGAAGGTGAGATGGTCTCTCAGTGGTGACATGCTACTAGGTTTAGTTTATATATTTATTTATGCAATTCCCTCCAGTTATGTTTGTCGTCGGCAAGAATGAAAGACCTCAATGAGGTATCTACTTTCGCTCGATCATTTACAGTTATCAAGGTCTTAATGGTTGTTTACGGACAGCAAAACGTTTCAGCCCTATCTTATCGCTTGCACTGGGAACGTTTTCATGAAAATGTCTGGCAATAAGGTGCACAATTGTTTTACAGCCCTCGGAAAAATGTCTGTTAAGGTGCTTAAGGTGTAGATGAGGCGGAAGAAAATTTCTGACCACCATTCCATCAAACAAATAAGGGATATCTAATTTGTGCCTAACGTTCGCCCACCTTTTAAAAAGTTGTTAAAATCTAGGTGTGACTGCTTTTGCTGAAAAATGTGGTCATCTGCTTTCCCGCGCTTTCCGTTAAGTGGTTTATTGATTATAAAATCCTGTTAAACAATCATCAAGGCATTAGTTACTGCTACTTAATTTTAACAACAAGTACCAGTTGGTTATCATAGGACATATAAAGCAAGTCATCAGCCTTGTGCATAAAATTTCATATTTTGCTTTTATTTCTGCCCAACTTATTCGCTCTCATTTTCAAAAGTAGTATTGTTCCGCTTTTTAATCTCCTGAGAATTTATTTTTTGTTTGCGGTATACATCAGTATATTCAAGGTCCATAGGCGTAGACCGAAATTGTAAGTGTATATTTGGGCTGAAACTCGTCAACCACTGCGAAATATGCACTTGCTGCCAACAGACGAAGTATGTAGCAGAGATAAGAAAGCTCACTGTCCGCTGACCTTCGAAAACCAACGAAAATCCGCGATTGATATTTATGTTATAACCCAACAGATAGGCGGAAAAGACAAGAGGGCAAAGTTCTGAGACCAATCACTTTATTCAAGGTCAACAGAAACAGCGGATCTTCTAGCTCAACCACTTTAGCTTATTTATGGGTCCTGGCCGTACTGAAACATTCCTGCCAATCGTGCGCGACGGGCGTTCTGGAAAATTCTGGACTACGGCATGCCGCACGCACGCTCAATGCAACAGCTTAAGCTGCCTGCCTGCCTGCCCGCACGTAGAACTCAGATGGTCTGGCCTGTTGCGGTGCTTATTGCCACGTGATCTTTTCGCCTTAGGCCGCACTGTGGTTTCCGTCTCCGTAAAAATTCAGATACGTCTCTAGATGACAAACTGTAGAGCGAAGCCGCGAATTTTTAAGGGCGATGTAACAAAAGATTAGGCTACAAAAGTTAGATTTCGGATTTAAGGACTTCATACTTAAGACATTCTTAGATACGTTCTTATAACCGACCGTAGAATAGTATTCTCAACTATATCGATCTCACTGTCCAGTTAGGCCAGTTATTTCAGACCTACTCGACTCTTTTTGCATAATCCGCGAATATTTATTTATTGCATAATGTAAGGTTTGAAATTTTACCTACTAACTCGGACCGCTCAGTCAGTCAGTTTGTGTGGGGTGGTTGACAGGCGGACTGAGAGTCAGGTTGCAGTGGTTCATGCTTAATGTCGACTTTATGGCACTCCCACTCAGGTGGATCTGAGCTCTGCACCCGAATGGCGGACTGAGAGTCAGGTTGCAATGGTTCATGTTTAATGTCAACTTTATGATACGCCCACTCAGGTGGATCTGAGTTCTGCACCCTTTTGCTGTTGTTTCCTTGTTTGTGGTAACGCACAGTGCGTGGGCCTGTGCCCTTATCGACGGCTATTAAGGCTTAGAAAGTTAACCCTAACAACTATGATCTTCCAGGCCCGGTTCCTTGGGAGATGGGAGAAGTCTTGGTAAGGCCTGATTGTTAGGAATAGTGTATTCTGTAGAAGGATAGGAGAATAGATGGAAAGAGTGTTGACTCGCGGACTAGTGCGTC